ATATGTTGAGTGTTCGCTTACTGCTAACTATGGCCTAGTTTGTTTGAAGTGCAATCGATTCTCGATGTAGGAAGCTCTTGTTCAGTCCATTTAGGACGAATCAGGCCTTTAGAAAGCGATTGATTAGCTCTCCGCCGCGGTTTTTGATATCTGCACGTTCGTGTTGATTTAGACTCCAATTTCATATTAAAAGCACTCTTAATTAAATTGTACAATTCATGATTCAACGAAAAGACGGTGAATTTAGTCTTCCTGGCCTCAAAGGGCAAACAGGAGAGTTATTTACTGTTATTTGAGCTACGATAAGCCTCGTGGAAAGCTAGCTCTAGAACAGAATTGTATCAAGTTTATCAGTGACAAGTAAAATTCTATGGCTACGTTTTTGCGAATCCGGTCAGATATATATTATATATATAAGCAGTGTAAAATTGGTATACCTAACGATGAACTCCCAGTAAGAGTATCCAGAGAATACAATGTCTCGACGTGAATTTGTAGTTTAGTGTATGATGTGACGAAGAGACCAACTCTTGACTGTTCTGGACGAGTTTTAATGTACGACGTTTCGGCCGTTCGGCCTTCTTCAGGTTAAAAATTAAAAACTAAAAAACTATTTACAATGGTTGCAATTTAAAGAAACACCGACTTATATACAAAGCAGAAATATTAAGATTGAGGTTACGTAATACAACAAAGGTCTAAATTACAAATTAAAGGATTAAAGGATTAAACAATCAAAGGCAAATAAAGAACTATGGGTGACATGTGAATACAAATAAGGTGAATACAAACAAGTGACAAAAACGAGAAAAAATCTAACTGAATTAGTAGTGTTTACTCTGAAGTAAAAAGCTCCCCAATGAAGGCCTCTGAATGAATGTAATTAGGTAAAAATCATAACAGGGTCCCAGGACTCAAAATGACAAGATAGAATTCCATCCTAAATATTTGGTCGCAGATGAGGTGGGCAGCTCCACAGGTTCTCTGGCTCATGAGCAATGATACGTAACCGGATTAGAAAGAGAAAAGAGGCCAAGTTCCCAAAACAGTGCATTACCGCCAGTGCCGAGTGCATTGGACCACTCGTAAAGAGGCGGTCAAAAGATTGTACACTCATACGGCAGGGGTAAGCAGAAAATAAATCATCGACAAAGCCATAAATGCACGTTGGACGTGCCAACCATGGTTCCAATGAACCGAACAAGCACAGCCATTGCTCGTGAGAGTAAAACCCAACGGCAAACAAACTGGGGCTGTGAAAACAAACAACAACTGACAATTATAAACTCCTCAAAATCCTTTTGATCATCTCGTACGTATTAAATGAAGCATGATCTCAAGTTGGCTAAAGAGCCTTTTGATTATTTCCGCTAAATTGGTTTGAGTGACAGCATTACGATGGGTTTGTAAATTTGAATATGCAGTGTCACCCAAGTCCAATATCAGAAAATAGTCCAAAGGCGGAAATCATTTCACAGAACGTGAATATTTTTAATTAAGCAACGTTTGTGTTTCCAAACTTTATGAACTAAAACGTACACAAGTCTTACAACTCTACGATAATATCAGAGAGAAGGATCTTGCGTATTCACATCCAATCTATGATGGACTTTTATGTGGACTATAGCTGCGAAGACAACAACGAAACAGGCAGAACCAAGCTTACTGTTTCTGACTTTGATACCACAAGCATCAGAGATATAAAGTACGCTATTCAGGCCGCCATTCAAGCACCAGTTTGCGATCAACAACTGTTTTATCAGGGACAACCGGTAACAGACGATGACATGACTCTCAGTAGATTGTATTTTCGGGAGGGTGACTGTTTTGAAGTCCAATTTCTTGCTGCAGTAGACATTGCACGAATGAGTGAGCTAGTGGATGTGCTGAAGAACTTTGCTCATGAAATTGTAGAAAAGTTCAACAGACAGCTTCCTGTCATAAACAGGAGAAGGAGACGTCAGGACTTCTTTTCTGTC